AGTTAGAAAAGAGGCTGCACATATTTGTACACTCACCAACATAGGAGAAAATCTTTTATATTTAAAAATTTGACTAATTTGCCTAAAAGCCCGCAAAAAAAAAGTCATGATTTTTCAGCCACTAAATCATTACATTGACAAAATGCAAATCAATTTATGTACGTTTCTACTAAAATGTTGTCAGTTTTACGACTCCACCATCGAAGTTTGAAAGCGAAAAATACTACAGATTCAAAGGACTGAAAAAGATTTGGTCTATACGCATAATTATTTCATGAACACTTGGTTTTACTTTTCAAATCAATAATGCAACGCAATTCCTTTCACATTGAAAACCCACGAGAAAACCAGGATTATTCAGCCACTAAATCATTACTTCAACAAAAATGCAAACCCTTTTATATACGTTTGTACTAAAATGTTGTCAGTTTTACGACGCAACCATTAAAGTTGATTTCATTGCCTATTTTCCAAAAAAAAATCTCGCCCATTGAAATTGACTGCGAACGGTGCTACAGATTCAAAGGACCGCAAAAAACTTGTTGTACAAGCACAATTATTTCATGGACCTTGGTTTCATTTTTCAAATTAAAAATGCAACGCAATCCCTTTCACACTGAAACTTTGTGTGTTTGGATTTTTCTATTATGTATATTTAAGGTGTAGGATAAAGATATAAATAATAAATATATTTTTTATAAGTAATTTTTATTAAAGATATAAATATTAATTTTTAATTAATTAATTAATTAAAATTATTTATATATTAATAATATTAAAATATATATTAATTTTTATAATTTTTTATGTAAATTTATTACGAAAAATATATTTATTACACTTTTAATTTATATTTATAAAGTACAAATTAGATAAATTTTTTTAATCAAGAGCTTTTTAAAATATATTATCTGATTTAAATTTAAAATATTTAATTTTATTAAAAATTAGCACCATGCTATCCTTTGGCATTGATTGTTATATCTTATTTGTTCTAATTGAATGAACCT